ATAGTTCTAGCTGTGCAGTAGGCAATATGGCTGCTGTTACAATTTCTGTATCCAAGTCGTTGACATTGCTCATTACTGTACAGAATTGCACGGCTGTTGTGGTATTATCATCTTTGGGCTTTGCCTGAGATGCAGGTTGATTATTGGAAGTCTGTGATCTGGATTGAGTGTTAATATCACCACAGAGTGCTGTGTGATGTACACTTTTATGACAATATTGGCAGTTCTGCAATTGAGTGATACACTCACTAGTATCGTGCTTCCGTAGACAACGGATGCACCTGTTCAGAGATTTCAGTCGATCGATTCGACTGGCACGGCCTTCATAAACTGTGCATTGATAAATGCTATGTGCTTCTTGACAGAATAAACATTTTGGGGCACTTGTAGCTCCTTTTGTCTTATCTGTCTTAGGAGCTTGGTTTCCTACAGTTCTGTTAACTGTGGGGGATATAGCATAAGAGCCAACATTATTCTGTTTCCACTTTACAGAAGAGGAGTTTTGTTGTCTTGATTTTTGACTGCCATTCTGGACATTTTTGCTTTTGTCCGTGGATTCACCTTTGGGGATTTTTTCTTGAGATCTAAGTTTTCCTCGGCTTCGTAATCTTTGTACGTAAGCTCGAAGTCCATCAATGATTTGGCTTTGTGATAAGATGTTGGTGTTATAATGAGTGCATAGGCTGTCTATGACCTCATTTGGAAGTTTCCTTTGAATGATTAACTTTATAAGCCACTCTGCATCACCTACAGGTACTTTTGTACTGAGGGCTTTGATGATTGATTCTATAGACAATCGAAATGATTGTAGTGACTCATAACTTTTATTTGGAGAGGGTAAATCCAATAATTTGTACGTGAGACGTGCAATTGCAGTCTCCTTATCACTGTAGTTATCTTGTAACAACTGTAAGGCATGGTCGTAATCATCATCCGTTAATGACAAATTAGCAATGACCTGCCTTGCCTCTCCCCGTAACTGGCCTTGCAAATATTGAAACTTTGTCGCCTTTTTGAGAGAGGGCTTGGAATTTATTATAGAATCAAAGTGTCTCCAGAAGGTATCCCAATCGTCTTCATCCTTGCCCTCAAAATATGGTAATTGTACCTTTGGGAGCTCTGCGGCTATATGTGTGATAGTTGCATTGCTCTGTTGAGTGGATGAGCTCACATTGGATTGGGTTCCTGCTTGAGATATTTGTTTGATTAAAGGATCAAGTTGATCTTGGATTTTATCTTCATACATTGTCATTTCAGCGACAATTTCCTTAAGTTCCCTTCGGGTTAAATCTGCATTAGCCATTTCTGTTAGATAAATCTCTGCATGGCGTTTGATTTGTTCATACTTATCCACAGCTGCTTTTACTCTGGTATTCAGAATTATTAAATCAGGAGATGGTTGCCTAGCCAACTTTTGACATTTGTCAATCAGTTGAGTTAGGTGATTTTGCAGACCATTAAGTGTCCTCCTATTTCCTGTTTCAGCTGCTGGTGGAACACTGTCAGCCATTTTGACCTTTTCCGAGTTTTGGAGATTCCGAGATTTTTCTCTTTTTTTCTGATAAATATGTATGATGTTAATGTATTTTGATAAATGAGCTTTCCTGTCTACTTAGGTAATGATTCCAAAGATCGTCCTTCATTTCCTCCCTGGAATCTGGTTGTAGCAGGTGTTCAATTATCAAAAGTATTGTAATAATTTGATTTGTGACCCGAATGCACGAATGCACCAAGTTGGTAAATCCTGTAATAATTTTTTAAAAATAGTAAATGGCACTATTTTTGCAAAGTTATTACAAAATCTGTTACCATAATAATTGTTAGATAAAATACAGTAGAATGTCTACTGGTTTTACCTGGAATAGGGTTTGTACAGTTGATTATGGTTAGATTGTAATGAATGCTCTTACAGTGATGATAACACTTTTTTAAAGAATATTATGTAATGAGCAGCTCTGAAAATCAGAAGATTAGAGATAATGCTAGATAATACACTTAAATATATATGTAATGTTACCACAATGAGGTAGGTAATTGGTATTTATGATTAAGATGCAGTTGTGTCTGTGACACTGATATAATTAAGTACTGAGGTTTCTTAACACAAAACAGTATCAGTTTGTTATGAATGCTTACTAGTTAATGGATATGGTGGCTTAAGCCACTGCAAACTATTTGTTTACTTAGATGTATAGCTATGATAAATATTGGCTGATAGCTAGGTTAGGCTAGAATATGTAAGAATTATTCCAATGCAAAATCAAAGAAGTTTCTTATGTATTTGGCACTGAAATATTCGGTAAATGAATGATCATAAATATCTAGGTACAAAGGACCATTATTATCTAGGTTCGAAGGACCATTAATGTGGGAAAAACCTGCTGGGATTGATATAAGAGGAGACTACCAGGGACTTGTACTGAACTAAATTAAAAATTTACTGTCTGCAAATTAATTCAACTAAAATCTCTAGCTAGGGTTGTAAATCCTAATTCCTCTTTTCCTAATGACAGATTGTGGGCTGTAAGGGACAGGTGGGGTGAATGACTTGTTGATAGAAGTTCCAATCCACCGATATGTGAGGCTTAGCCTCGCTTTTTAACCAACAGACAGATTTAGAGGATATTAAAGCTACACAAGCATACAATTGGCCAATCATATACCAAATAACCTTCAATATACTTCTCTGCCAGTCGGGGTGCCTGTCTGACAAGTTTGCCAGACTGATTAACTCTCTTGTTGAGTTTAGGCACGATATTTTGCTACAGCGTTGCTGTATGATGATCTGGTAGCGTTGCTACGTGATTATCCTGCAGTTGCAGAAGAATGATTCGAGATAAAAGTTTATGAATGAAGGTGGAGGAAACCGTGTCACTGATCTCCACTATACACTCTATAAGGATTTGATTTTTAATCAAGAGCATATATGGGGGCTACAGAGGCCGGGGTGTTGCTCGTGGTGGCTCTGACAGATCAGAACTAAACCAATATGCACTTACGGTTCCGTGAGAAGAGGTTTGCTTATGTACCCTCTCTGCATGACGGCTTCTTCTCTCAGTAAAGAATTTGTTTTCTATGCTCATAAGACTGTAATGTTGATTGTGAATAAACCTAATGTGATGATACAAAAATAATGAACATAAGATTGTGAATAAACTAAATTAAATGTCTCGCTTTCTCACTGTCCGACTCTGCGTTTATATCTAGTTTTAAATCATTGTGAATTATCGTATTAATCATGGCAAATATAATAGCTCAATAATCTGACTGGCATCATTTAATATTATATGAAACCAAATCTAAACATATATGAGTAAAAATCACCTAAAGATAAATTAACAGCAGCGTAATTGGTGGTAAATAAACTAATTTTAGAAACTAAGTGAGATAGGCTATTCGGTGTTGCCTGAGTCAAGAGAGGATACTCTTCTTAAAACATGTCCCCCTTTTGCACCTACAAGCTAAGGTAAATTTTGGGTTGGTAAATGTTAAGAATTATTATTTAATAAACTGTTCACTTCAGACAGTTAAGCAAGTCTTTCTAGCTGGGTTTGGATACAAGGGAAGGGATGCACAACCCTGTAGCGAGTTTTCTTCCTATTAGAGTGTTGTATATGCTGCTGTGGCGGTATAAACACTCACAATGAGTGACACCCCAATAAATTCGTCCTTTGGGACAAAATAACAAAAAATATTGAACTCATTATTCTATACCTTCACTATACGATATTTATCGCTAGGCTCAACCAGGGTTCACTGGGCCCAACCTGATGGGTGCATTAAGTGCCCGAAATTAGTGGGTTATGAGTGATCCCCCGCAGCAATCCTAGAAATTGTGTTTCCGTTACTAAAACAGAATATGCTGAACATGTAATGGGACACTTACAAAGCATCGAAAGTAGTTACTGTTCTCGGGGACGAGAAACCTGTTAGTCTTATCGAGGTTCACCTACACGACGACTGCATGGCTATTTCCCTGGATGAGACTCCAAGTACACTACCTACATTTACTGCTTCGCGAACAGAAGAGCGCCAAAACTTCTTTCCCTGATCGGGAATCGAACCTAAGACAAATTAGTCGTGTTGCAACCCATCCTCTCCAATAATTCATCGCATTTTCACACATAAATCCCCTAAGGCCAAAAACTGATGTGCTAAAAATTATAGCAGCTCACAAAATTGACGTGATGTCTCGTTTTTTATTAGTGGATCCTCGGTCAGGTTCGAGAAATTTAGTACATCAGTTTAGTGACACTGTAAACGCTTTAAAGGATGAACAGTGTGAACAGTATGCTAACCAATGAAGGCTGAGGCTTGGAATTTGATATCCAAATACTGTATCATATGACCTTCCTCGGGAGGAAGGTCATGTGGAAGAAGTCTAAAGGTGGTTGGATTTAGCTCAACAGTGTCTGGATGCATAACAAAGACAGTCTTTCAGATTTATTTGTATATAGAAATAAAAACGAATAGATTTCCCGTGTCAGGCGAGTCTTAATTGTGGCTTTCTTCCTATTTTGTGGTGCTGCTATGATGGTATGTTCACTCACAGAATGAGTGGCGCTGCCCAATAAACTCGCCTTCGGTGCAAAATTTAACATTTAAATCAATTGTCACCTGTAAAGGTATCTGATACACCAGATGGCATTGGGAAAACACAAATGTACAGTTTGCGACACCCGTGTTAGTGGTAAGCTATACCAATGTCGGGGACAGGAAGTCTGTTAAAATCATAACAAGTAACTTTAAGTAGGAGGCCAGTTCGCGCTGCCACTTATCCAATTATTGGCGAATGGTTCTTAACCTGATTAAGAGTAAGACGCACACCGCGCCACCGGCCGTCAAGTATACAACCTGCTATTTATGACGGTAAGTGACCAAGAAGATATCCACTTATCCAGGTTCTCTGCCTGTTTGCCCAAGTCATAACAAAAATGACATTTCGTTCCGGTTTTAACAAAGAAAGTATAGAGCGCGGGCGGCGTCTCTTATTTATTTACCAAACTTTCTACTGTGCGTGAGAAGCAAAACTTGACGCCATCTGCTAGGCTGGCGAAGCGGCCCCGACGCCCAGCTGTTCCACGCAACCAACTGGAAAAAAGAGGTACAGTATTTACAACACACGGACGTTCAAGCCAATAAAAAATAATATTAAGAACAATAATGAACAGTTACAAGCTTTCAAAATTCAAGATAGAAGAGCGAAGCTTGTCCGGGGTGATGATTGCCGTCTGACTTGCATATATATATTTATATGTTCAGGGTGACAATCGCGGTCTGACGTGTACATGATCATGGCGACGATCCCAGGGCAAATGATCAGGGTGACGATCGTGGGGTGATCAGGGCGAAGAACGCTGACTGACGTGCACATGATCAGGGCAACGAACTCTGGCTGATGTGGACATGATACGAGCGACGATCGCAAGATGACGTGTGCACATGATCAGGGAGACGATCGTGGTCTAACGTCCACATCATCATGGTGGCCTATGACTAAAGGCCAATTACAGGATCGCAATTGAAAAATTCCTCACTACAGTTGGTAGTGATCGCTGGTAGTGTTTGAATGTGTTCATTGCGGCTTGCTCGACATCGTTGGTTGTTTAATACTCAAGTGATAGTCGAGCCTGGCTTCAGGCCGGACTTGGAGTACAACTAACTACTCCCGCAACCCTCTCCGGGTATTCTCCCAGTCCGTTCTCGCGAGCGTTCCTAACGTCAACTGTTGTATTAAAGTGCCTTATCCTAACCTATCTGAGGACCCACGAACAGAAAACGGGACTTTGTCACTTTCGCGAGCCGCTATCAGTCAGTAAATTTGTGTTTAAAACTCAAACTCTATCTCGTCTAGACTTACATAATTTAGTTCGAAAGTTGTAAGTAAAACATTTAATCTCCAAAAGTCCAATTTAACTTAAGTGTTAAAAGAAAATCACATACCGATGCGGTTGGTATACTGATGGATACACGTGGCGCATTTTCTCGGATGTGGGTCAGTGTACTATAATGATACAGAACATATGTTAAAACAAATTCCGGCTAGTCAAAGAGACTGTGTGGAAACTTCCTCAGACTTTGTGATCAACGCACAATGACAGCTGTCTATAAATGAGGTCATTGCAGGTAAATAGACCTATGTTTTTCCTCAGCTTACAGACACCAGGAAGCAAATCCCATCATCAGTGTCTTGTGAACTGTTGGAAGATCAAATCATGCCTTGACATCTGTTGGTAGTTCAGATCAGGCATGTTAGCCACCTTTGCCAGACCCGATCATGAATGTTGACAACTTTGACAGATCAGATCACGTATTTTGGTTAAATGTTACACACACACACACACACACACAGTTTCATTACAACTAAATTTTAGTCTACTAAAATACATAGGAAGAGAAGGAGTAATTTCATGCGATTCAAAGTTAACAATCTTCATGTACAGCAACAATAAGAATGTAACCGCTACATACATCAATACTTTAGATATCTTGTAATTACCCATCTGGGTAATATTTTTACCCATCTTATGGGTAAATATGATGGGTAATATGAATTACCCATCTTGATATCTTGATATTACCCATCATGATGATGCAGGCAATACAGCTAAGGTTATACTTGTTAAAAATTATATTGAATTTTACCTATGTACCCTTATTTATATTGTTTAAATTAACCATCCCCCATAATAAATAGACAGTTGTAATCCAAAAAGTTCACGGTGTGTAATATCGGAATGCTTAAAATACACTGTAGCTTTAAAAATATTGGATCAGTAACTTGACAACATAACCTAATTATGCTTAAATAAGTTTGTTTATATATAACATGTTAAGGTGTCCTGTACACCAGTTGCAGAGTGCTCCTGGCAGTATGGGTTCGAGTCACATCTGGGGTGTGAGTTTTCAGTTGCATATATGCCTGGGGACCATTCAGGCTTGTTCGCATTTGTTTATATATATATATATATATATATATATATATATATATATATATATATATATATATATATATATATAAATATATATATATATATATATATATATATATATATATATATATATATATATATATATATATATATACAATCCAGCCAATCCGACAATAATTGCAATATGTATTATCCTTTTTGGTTGACTAGTTAAACACGCTGCTCCAAGAAATTTGGTCTCACAGACACCTAAAGTTCAGAGAGCATTAAAGCATGAAAAGTTCTGGTTTGTTTAGAGCTGAAGTGTGATGGTATGGGCAATACAAGCATCCACTAGTAGCAATCTAATAAGGCTATAATCTAAAATCTAATGTCCTCTTTCTCATCACATTACATTTTTTATGCTGTGTACCCTACCGTAAATATCGTAGTGGTTTAGGACTAACTGAAATCACCGTAAAATTAACGCTTGTATAGGGACTAATGAGTATCTGCTCTGATAGGTGAGTAGCCTATGTATTTATGGCTTTAGTTAGGTTAAACCAATGCATTTTTTACGGAGGGAGAAATCAAGAGAATGAGTTCTGTTGTTAGCATGACCGAGAAACAGCACGAGGAAGTAACAGTAGGACTTGCTTCCGTTGTTAGCGTGACACAGGAGCACCACGAGGAAGTAACAGTAGGACTTGCTTCCGTTGTTTGTGCGACACAGGGGCACCATGAGGTAGTAAAGACAGGACTTGCTTCCGACGTTAGCCACGTAACCCAGTGCGTGTACTACGAGGGGGTAAAGGTAGGACTTGCTCCCTTTCACTATGAAAACTTGAGATCTTCACAGTCCATCTGAAGTATACTAGTGTAAACGTTAGACGCCTTAAACGTTAGAACGTTTAGACTACAAATCTGAACTCACCCCTTAGATATTACTCATGATACTGGGCGATGGGGACATGCGACGAACCAGGCCACATTGTCCCAGCTCTGTAACCCCGTGGATATGACTAAGGCTGGTGCATTAATACTGCTCTACTTAAGTTTGGTCGTATAACAACAATTATTTTGAAAACACTCTTACAGTCCCCTTTTAAAGCGTACACATTTAACAATTGCGTAGTTGCCTGGGCTGCGTACGCATCAACTCGAGCGGCTATGAAATATAGGACTATGATCCTGTTAAGTGCACGAAAGAAGTTAAACAGGATAACAATATATATATCGTACGCCTTTTGCACGATACATATTGTCAGCCAACCCACATAAGATGGCAAGGTAATTCTGAGGAGAAAGCGCTAAGCCAGCATAAATTATATAGCACTTGGAAGGAATATGAGAGTCGAAGAACTGGGATACGAGGTCAGAGTGAATAAAATGTTCTCAGTCACTCGAGCCATCGGGGATCGAGCACCGACCTGCAAGAACCAGTCCAAGTAGATATACTGTATCCAGCTCCAAACACCCAATTTTGGGCAAGACATGAATCCGTTCCCACGCTGTTTTTGCTTAACTTGATAATTTCAAGTCGCTACAGTCGTAAAACATCGCAACCTGCTTAGAAACAAGTAGTTCGACCCAACCACTTGGACTGCTCGGTGTAACGACAGCCTCGCTTCTTGTAGGTCGGCGATCGATTTTTAATGGCCCAAGTAGTTGAGAACCATCCGTTCTATCTCAGCTCCTTGTTCTCATAAGAGCCATAGTGTCGTACTAGCATTGCTCTCTCTACTGGAAATTGCTTGCTTGGACTCGTTCGCCTCAGTGACCTACTCTATTATCACAGCTTGAAGGTTCTAGGACCAAGTTGTCTACACATTCACATTGTTCCCAGCTTGGCTGCTATAGTAGCCTCTCCAGCGGACGATGGTGGTGATGGTGGCGAGGGCGTGACGTGTCTTGTTTACAAGCAGAAGTAGATCAGAGCGAGAGAGTGTGGCCACGGAGCCTGGACAAACCGCAGCAACCACTCCCTAGAGACTTTTATGCTGGAGAACCAGTTTACCACACCTCTACCACCACCACAACTACCTCCCCAGCCACCAGCATCACCAAAAAAACTGTAGCATCGTAACCCACATGCAGCTGTGGGGCGAATTATGTCTGGCCACCTTATGGTATTGTCTATTATTTTATGATAATCTCTATGACAGCTGGTTGCTTTTGTCTGTTTATTTTTATATTTCCAGTTTTCAAGCTTCAGTTCCTGAAGCCCTGTGAATGATGTGCACGTGTCACCCAGCTTAAGCTCCGTTGGTACTGGCCAGTAATTAGATGGCTATATACCCGGCCAGCGTATATCATGACAAACAGAAATATGTATCAGATAATTAGTTTATATATGCGTTGATATCATCCTTAGGTATACACCTGTTGTTAGTTCTAGGAATCAATGTCCCCGCGGCCCGGTCTCTGTTAGACATCACTGCTCGCAGTCTGACATAATATAAATCCAGATTAATATCTATTAAAGTCGCGTATTCCATTGAATTTATTATAATTCAACTGAACATCTTTATTCTTAAATTAACACAAGTTATATTTATTTAACTTGTGTTAAATAAATATAACGTATTTGAACAAATCGAGCAGCGACGTATTTGAACAAATCGAGCAGCGACGTATTTGAACAAATCGAGCAGCCACGTATTTGAACAAATCGAGCAGCGACGTATTTGAACAAATCGAGCAGCCACGTATTTCAACAAATCGAGCAGCGACGTATTTGAACAAATCGAGCAGCGACGTATTTGAACAAATCGAGCAGCCACGTATTTGAACAAATCGAGCAGCCACGTATTTGAACAAATCGAGCAGCCACGTATTTCAACAAACTGAAGCCCCATAATGTTGACGTTGTATATTCCTCACCGTCGGTAGATTAAGTTACTTGTGTTACGTCTGTTTCATGTTAGGCAAAACAGTTGTAGTTTTAACAGAGTGGCAAATAGAGAACACCAGCTGCGAAGGAGAGTCTTAAATTCGCTCACGGTCGAACCCTTTACACCACCGTCCACGGGATGGGTATGGGGTGCATAATAAAGAAATTGAATTGAATTGGTTGGACCTGTAGCCTAACCAAGCATGGTGACGCGTGGAGTGTACAGGTGGAAGCCTAACCCACATGCTGCAGCCTAACCACTTGGGCTGGACAGTAGAGCGACGGCC